GAGGGGAACAAGAGACAACACAATCCATGGGGGAGTGTGAGAAGAGTAAGAGATTCAGGATAGCCACTCCCTAGAATGTCCCAGAGTATATCCACTAGTTGCAGATTTAGTTTGGCAAGATTCTGTCTGTAAGGTGTAAGCAAATAAAGGAACTATACTTGACTGGACTGTTTCATCGTTGTTCTTGGGCTGGGCCTGACATGTGTGGACTTCAACTCCCAGAATTCCCCAGCCAGCATTGGGAATTGAAGTCCACACAGCTTAAAGTTGCTGAGGTTGAGAAACACTGGTCTGTCCATTGGACCTCTGATGCTTGTGGGTTTTAAGGATTGCTTCGGAGCTAACATACAACTCCAGAATCCAATAGTGATGAAATCTGATGCAGATACAGAAACCATAGCCAGCCATCAGCAACTCAGTTAAGGAAGGTAGTGTATTAGAAAACCCCTAATTGCTTCCGGGAGGAAAATGTGGTCTTACCTGAAAGGAAGATGACTTGGAATTTCAGACTGTTCCCCCCTCCCTCAAAAAAGAAGAGTAAGTAGAAAAAATTATAAACACAGATAAATTCTGTGCAATACCCGTCTTTTTTTTTTGGAATGTGGTTTGTGGCATTACACAAACATGTACATAAATATCATATGTGTCACATGCATATACTTATGGGAGTAGGGAAATCTTCAAGATTAATTTCAGCTGGAGTTGGCAACCTTGAGTTTTTACATGTGGGGAAGCTGGGCATTGCACCGGATTTTTGTCTGTATTTGGAAGAAAAAACCTTGCTTTCCTAGCTTCCCTACTTGGGAAGATATGATAAGTTGTAAAATAATAATAGTCAAGAACAGATTTTTGTACTGAGTCTCATTGACCAGTCTGGTGACTAAATTGGAGCAGGTCTTAAAATACAAAGGAACAGTCTTGGACTTCTGCCTCCAAGAAATTTCTGTCACTCATGCTTTCTCATCCTGAGTTTGGGCCACCTTGAATTTTGTCCACTGGGTTCATGTATATATGATTTCTATATTTACAGAACTGTAGAAATGACTTTAGTACCAAATCTGCTCAAATCCAGGGCTTTTATTGTTGGCACTGATTTATTGGTTAGATGAATGGCCTCCCTTCCAAAACCATTGGTCATGGGCTGATCCCGTTCACTCTTGTTCTCTGCACATGGCTTGCAGGATAATGTTACAAATGGGGAGGAGAGGATACTTTAAAAAGCCTCACTGGCAGTCTCTTTAAGATCCCCAAGTAAAAGATCCTCTTGGCTGCCTCTCCTTAGACCGAAACCCAAGACATCCTAAGCTGTTTGGGGAATTTTCCCTTTAGCCCAGCCCTGGTACAAATAGAAAGCACTGTGGTTTGGGTCTTCCCACCCAGAAGGATGGAATTAACATCTTTGGGCCAGTTTGGAAACATGAGAGTGTCAGTACAACCATGGGGAAGATTTTAATGAGAAATTCCATTCTAAAACTTCTAAAGCCAATTCTGTAGATATTAAAAAATATATATTGGGAAAATGGAAATTTGGGGAAAACAAGAGAAGGCAATAATTTCATAGAGAATTTACAATAAAGAGAAATGATTTATTTGATTGATTGATTGAGATTTATCTTCAACTACTGTAATCACAACTCCAGTGGCATATATTGAGCAAAAACCAAACAGAACTCAATAAATACTAATGGAAAACGATACAAAATCAAAAAGAAAAAAAAATACATTACCACTGAACAACATACAGCCATGGTAAACCAAACACACTTTCCACCTGCCAGAAGTTGGGTTCATCTATCATCCTGACCCAAAGCTGGGGGGGGGGGGGGATCAGTATTGTCAGCCTAGCTAACTTAGCTATATTATCGCCTTAATAAACTTTTGGGTTTTAGAACATGGTCAGAGCTCGGTACAGAGAGGATAGCTGGAGAGAGATCATCCATGCTCTCTGCTTGGATATTGATAGGCAGGTCTTCCTTGCCGCTCTTCCTCTTCATTTTTTCTCCATAGCACTAAACTCAGGAAGGACAATTAAAAGTCAGCCTTTCTGCCCAACCAAAGAAAGTGAGCTGTCTCTAGTCTAGAGAGCAAACTTTATTTATTTGCTTGCTTATACATTAATTTCTATACTGCCCAATGCAGAGGTGCTGGGTGGAGTATAGAGCAGATAAAAGAAACATCCAATAATTGCCTAAATTAAAACTAAAGAGTATGGTAAAAAATCCATACAATAGCTCCCTAACTTAGCTAGGTGCCAGATGCCACTGTAAAAATGGAAGTTTTTAAGTGCCAGATGTGAGGGGACCAGGTGCCTCTCTAGCGGTAGGGTATTCTGCAAGATGGGGCAAGCGCTGACAAGCCTGTGTTCTGGTCCACGTGCCTCTCACCTGCCAGAGTGAAAAATTATCTAATAGCTGAGCCCACCTTCCAAATGACCTTTGTTGGAATAATAAAGGTGCAGTTGGTTTTGTGCCTTTGTATAAATGGGATTACGGGGAAGGGACATTTGTGTGTCGGGGGGAGAGCTGGATTCTGTTTCTTCAGGCGTCAGCATGGGATCAATTTATCCAGTGCTTCAGGGGACACTGTTGTGTCATATCAAGGTGTGGGGTTTGTCACCGATGAGTTGTAGTGTGTGTGTGCATGTTCCCCCCATGAGGAATGATCATCTGTTTCTAAAACGACAGTGACTCTGAATGGAGTTGCTTCCAGTTCCATAACAGCACAAAAGAGAATAGAAAAGGTGAAAAGATTCTAGGGACGCAACAGAGTTGATTGTTCAAAGTGGGCTTATTTGTCTGTATATCTGAGCCAATCTCTCTTTAATCTGTAGATAATATCAGAAGATATCAGCGAGCTTCAAAAAAACCAGACTACAACGATGGCCAAAATAGCTCAGTATAAGAGGAAGCTGATGGATCTTTCCCATCGAACGTTGCAGGTAGGCCTGTGTTGGCGCCTACTTTTTTTTCAGCCATTCAGTAAAACAAGACTGAGCGTGTTCATATTATGTAGGTTTGAAAATGTGAGATGTCAAGAAATCTTTAGTTCAGTCAGGAAGTCTCCCGATGAGATGGCCTTAAGTTCAGGCTGGGGAGAAAAGCATGTTCTAGACTAGTAAATGCATAGAAACGCAGTTACACTCTAATAGTTACACTTTCCAAATTTTGCAGTGCTGTTTTATTCATTTATTTAAATTCCTTCTAGTCCATCCACTAGCATACAAAAATACATATACTGGGAGCAAGTATATTCATAAATGTAAGTAAATGTATATACTAGAAAATATGACATATAACATGTAGTAGAAAATTGCTTGCAGAAGAGATAAATGAAAAGAATGGTTGTGGAGGAAATTGCTTATATTAAGAGAAATATACATGGAAATACCTCCAGATTTTGACAAGTTTTTGATCCAAGTGGGTGCAGGGATGGGGGAAAATGAGCTAAACAGAGATTGAATTGGGTAGCTCTGCTACAAATCCGTTCTTATCTCTCTTCCCATCTGTTATATGGGCACAATATGTAAGGATGTAAGAATTAAGGTACTTGAGTTCTGCAGCCTGAACTGTAGCTAGCCAGATGTGCCATGCTCTTTTCCTCTTAGTCATATGTTACAGGTTTTGCATCTCATTGCCCTTGTGGCTAAGAGTAGGTAGGCCAGGTTCTCCCTGCTTCCAAAGGATTAACTTTCTTTACAGAATCCAATAATGATTTTTTAAAAAAAATAAAATATTTGATGCAGGTGTTAATCAAGCAAGAGATCCAGAGGAAAAGCGGGTATGCCATCCAAGCAGATGAGGAGCAACTCCGTGTGCAGCTGGATACGATTCAGTGTGAACTCAACGCCCCTACACAGTTCAAGGTGAGTGGTAGAAAGGTTGGACGGAGCCCCCTAATGTTATATCAGCCTTCAAAGCAGAAGTCACCCTGGGATCTGTACATGCCATGTTGGACTTCAACTACATTTAGGCTATTGGAAAGACCTCTGCTATTTCTTAAGCTCTTTTGAGGGTTTCCTGATAGATGCATCTAGTTTTAACAGCAGCGTTCGTGTTTGAAATCTTAAGTTACAGATTAAGCCATGAGGCTCATGAACAGCTATTGTTTTGTTTCAGATTGCAGCTTTAGAGAAAAGTGAATGAGTCATTCACCTTCCCCAGACTTCCCCAAAAGTTGTATAATGTTGGACTGCAGGCAATGAAATCACACTTTTGAGTGCTTTTCTATGCAAAACAGCAGCAAAAAATATCCCAATTTCCATTTAAGTAGAATACTGATATCTCAGAAGAAACTGAACCTTTCCATCTGATGCACTAATTTAATACACAGAAAGGTTTTTTGTTTTTGTTATTGTAGGTAGGAAAATGCAACTGAAGTAACACAGCTCACTCTTCTGCCTCATTTAACTAATGCCTAAACTAGATTTGAATTTTGTAACTTTCTCTTCCAGGGTCGGTTGAATGAGCTGATGTCACAGATCAGAATGCAGAATCACTTTGGAGCTGTCAGATCTGAAGAGAGATACTATATAGATGCAGACCTCTTACAGGAAATCAAACAGGTATGTGGTAACTGAATTATTGTGAACCAAATTGATAAAAGTGGGGTTGAAATCTCTGATTGAATCAAGTAGCTCATGGTCTTAAGTGAATTTCTTTAGATTCTCCATTTAATCATTGATTAAAAAAAAATACTAAATTGTAACCCTCCGTAAGCATCAGTCACATACAAAATCTATTATGAATTCTAATGAACAATGGCAGAGCTCCTCAAGAAGTAGCTTGAGATCCATCCTTGGAATAGCTATGCTATGCCTTTCATGCCTTAAGCATTTGAGTATTGGGCTCAAACAGCCTTCTGCATCTTTGATAGTCTCCAGCTATATAGACCCCAACTCCTAGAATTCTCAGGCATGTCTGTGCTTGCGGAGAATTCTGGGAATTGACGTTCATCTATCTGCAGGCTATCTATGTTGGGAATGACTGATTTAAAATATAAAATATAATAGCAGAACAGTTAGATTCTTGCATTAAAAAAAATAGAAAAGGTCCCTATGTTTTTTTGTTTCTAGCATTGTAAGGGATGATGTGAAGGAGGGAAAAGTACTTTTGTTTTAGATAAAGTGGCTCAAGGAAGCTGAGAAGCAAAATCTGGCATGGGATACCTTTACTGGAAATGCTGGCCAACCATACTGTCGCCAGATGAGATCTTGCAGCCAAACCTTGCCAGCATGAATTGTATTCAGAACCATGAATGCTAGAAATATTATTTTCTTAACATGAACCTAAGTGAGAGAATGTTGATTTTCTTGTTGTGTGGTGTGTATGCTAATGACAGAAACTTCTTAGGATCAAGACATTTCAGCTTGGAACTATTGTGAAATGCAACATGAAATAGTTCTTGGAAATAATTGCTTCATAATCAGAGCTAAAAGCCACAAGCTTCAGTATGACCCCATATACAGTGGTACCTCGGGTTACGAACGCCTCTGTTAATGAACTTTTCGGGTTACGACCAGCTCCGGCTGCAAAAATTTACCTCAGCTTGCGAACTCTGCCTCGGGGTACGAACAGGATACACGGCCATTTTCCCTCCCGTGACGCGGTCCGTGGCCATTTTTCCGCCCCTGACACGTCCGTGGCCATTTTTCCACCCCTGACACGTCTGCAGCCATTTTTCCACCCCTGACACGTCCGCAGCCATTTTTCCACCCCTGACACGTGGTCCGCGGCCATTTTCCGCCCCTGACACG